ACCGTCGGTCGTACTCGAATCAGATTTGAGTCCATATTGTGATTTTGTCAAGATATTATGGAGGTTGAGGTACTTATTTATTTGTTTAATCACGACCGACTCTGGTAACTTTGAAAAACATGAAAGTAAGGAGATGCCGCGGTAATTGTTAGTATTCAATTTGTCACCCTTTTTGAAGAAGGGTAGAATAATTGATGTTACGGGTTATTTCAGATGTTCAATATTTCTTTTGATTAATATCATCGAAATATTATCATTGCCTGCGAAAATTTTCGGTTTTTGTTTCGAAATACAATATGAAACGTCCATTCCTGTTACTGGTGTCAAAAAAAAATTTATGATATTGTTAAAATTAACATTGTGTGGATGGAAATCATTTGACCGTTCTGTATTTCTGTGTAAAACAATTTTGGCGTTTGTATTCTCGAAAAAGAATTCAATTTCAATATTCTCTTTATTTTTGCCTTTTTTATTTGTGAAATGATTCACCAATTTCCATGTTATTTTTGTTTGATTGTCAGAGGATTTATTGAGTTCGGGAAAGTGAATAATTGTTGCCTCTCCTATGGTATTTTTCAATATTTCAGTATATTTCTGAATGTACGCCAGAGTTTCTGCATCAGAAGGTTTTTTTTTCAAATCTATCAGAAACTTGAATTTACATGTCAGCTCAATTCCTGTGGTTATCCACCCTTTGAATGATTTGTTCTTATTGACTTTTATTATTTTGAGGGAAAATGCGTATTCTAAACAGTTTTCAATTTGCTTGTGCAGTGCAGGTAGCCGCACTAAGGATTGAGCAGTAGAGATCGAGAGAAGAATCATTCCACTACGTACACCAATCCTAATAGGCCATGATGAACTCTACAGTTTCCGATTTTAGCCCACTCGAGCTGAGGAAGGCAAAGAACAGTATCTCTAATAAACCGAGGTTGAAAACACATGCATCAGCTTATGTTTACGTTGCCTCCCGTGAACCACCTAAGTCGAAACAAAGTGTTAACGAGGTCTTTTTCCACAAAATGCAATGCAGGTACGGAATATTTTTTCTATCCTGATGACAATCAGTCAATGATAGCTAACCAATCAAAAGTATTAATTGAAAGTGTTCAAAAATATAAACTATTCATAATTACACTGATTTTATCATTCCTGAATGTTTTTCTGTAATTAGTCCGCATGAGTTATCTACCTTGAGTAATTTCAGACAAGACAATGTTATCTGTTTAATCCAGATTGATCGAGATGTTCAAAGTACGACTTATTTTTAGAGCGGCAAAATGAAATCTGATCTCAGAATTCTCGAATATTATAGATAAAAAACCTTTTCGGGATTCATCCTATAAATTGCAGGAATTCAAAGGCTTGAAAAACATGAATATTTGAATAAAGGTATTCAAGATTAGTAAAAATAGTTTCCTAAAGGAACGTAATTGCCCAACTAAATATAGTTTTAATGAAATGCTCATTCTACTCTACTTCAACAAGTTTCCATGTTGAAAACATGAAAACAGAAATTAATTAATCTTTATAACACACACCCCCCATTTCAAGATATAAAAATATTATTTTCTTTGTTTCACTGTATGGCTCTCAGTATGTATGCAGATATTCCTCAGTCAGTTATGAATAATAATCATATTTGCTCATTCAAGAAAGAAAAATTGAATTGTGGGTTTAATGATTATACTAAAATTGGTAATAGTACAAATGGTAATGATGAAAGACAGTAAAAAAGCTGCAGTTCATCGTTATATTGCCAATTTCATAAAATGTATTTAAATATACTCACCCTCATGAAGATTTTTGAAATTATCAGGTATTCTGATTCAGTATGTATATCAATGCTTCTGCATTGATTTCTATCTCATGGCTGGGTGCCTACCACACTTTGCTGTTAATGTAACATACAGACACAACTAACCGTTGTATACGTACTACTCTTTAAGAACAGGAGAACAAATAGATAACCTTTTAATTCAAATTGAGAATATTAAAAAAATATTATTTTTGATTAAAATGTTGTTTATAATTACATTAAATTAAAATCAGACTGTTCATTGAAAAACAAAATTTCTTACTTCCAATAAATTCATTATTGGAGAGAGAGAGGACATTGGCAGATCAAGATCTTCAGATGATGTGGTGCTGCAGGTTTTTCCAGGTTTTCCTACAGCAGAAAAAGTAAATGCGCCACTGAAATCAATGAAGTCGCTCCGGAGCGCCAATTAATTTTCATTGTTGTTTTATAATTTCACTTATTCAAATTGAACTGACTTCAAATCATACAGAGTCAGATCAATTTCTGAAATAATCCCACTTCAAGTCGCAGTTTCGGTAGATGAGACTGGACTTCAAATTGGGCTCGATTCTAAGCTGGGGTAAATCTCGAAGGACGTTTCACATCTGGTAATAATTGCTTGTGTAATGATTTGTTTTCTGGATTTTGAAGTGCCTTGTTCAGTTTTTGCATTATTCAACTTCACAGTTAAATCACACTCAAGTTCAGTGTTTTGACTTCCATAAGCCAGTTCTAAAACATCCCAGCCATGGAACACACACTCTCTCGAAAACCCTTAAGTTAGGTTCACAACACGTCCTCCCTTCTTGAAAAACAATGTTATACATAATTTACAGGTCTAATCGGCTGGGTTGTTTTAACCAATCTACCAGGTTTCACAACTTCAGAAGGAGAACGATCAGCACTAAGTGCCCTTTTTGAACTAGCACCAGCAACATTTACAGGTCTATTTGAAAAGCTTCCAGCTATGTTTGTATAATTGCAACTTGAGTTGCTCAATGGATTAGGATCAGGAACTTTAATATCTACAGATATACAATTGGGTAATATTGATGATTTCGTCGTATTTGGTTGTATTTAAGTGTTAGTATTATGAAACGCTAAACGAATACTATCAGCATGCACCAGTTTAACTGTTTCATTCTCTGTTAAAGCCGAATATGTCGAATGACTGAGAATTTTTTCAATTTTTGCTTTATCTAACTTTGTCTGAGTATTCCTAATATAAACTTGATCAATTAATTGATGGATGTAGCCATTACTACGTGGAAGGAAATCATAATGAAAAGAGAAATGAAACTTTCTATGTTTTTTACCACATATATGTAGACGATATTCTCGCCTGTTTCAGAGGTACTACACGACAGCTGAACCAATTTATGACATTCATGAACAATCAGTTCACATTCGAAACAGATATAGATAAACAGATAAATTTCTTAGACCTGGCCGTTACACACAATGAGAATAAATTTGAGTTCGAAGTTTTCAGAAAACCTCGCTATACAGACATCACCATCCCAAGCGATTCTTTCCACCCAAACAGTCATAAATTAGCAGCCTACAATTCAATGTTACACAGAGCATTCTCACAACCTTTGTCATCTAACAACCTAGCTAGGGAAATTGATATAATTACACATATAGGTCATAATAATGGTTTCAACGCAGATACTATCCAGAAGTTAGTCAGAAAACAAAGCCGGAAATTCACTTACAGATTAATATACCCTCATGTCAAACAGCCAGAAATCAAGATATGGGTAACGCTAACATATTTTGGAAAAAGAACAGATTTAATTGCGGGTTTCTTCAGAAAAAACAATGTGGAAGTGGCATTCAGACCACATGCCAGGTTATCTCACTTCCTTTTCAATGCCATGAACCTATTGGTCCTTCTTGAGATCAACAATCAGCCAAAAGGGTAAGGGAGCTGGACTCCAATCCTGAATGAAACGAAGATGACTTTCCNTTTTGCTTAATATAATTGTTATTTTCAGCTATTCATTTTTGATTCTTCTTTTTTAGTTGTTTCAGGGATTTCAAATCATTTTATATGGTAGACAATGGAAGTCCGAACTAGTGAAATTCAACTCTATTTCTATTAGTACCTATAGGGGTGGTATATAATGGATAATGTAATGAATCATTGTTAGTTTATTGTATAAGTTTGAAAATGTCCGTATAGGACGAAACTGCAGTAACGTTAGTTACAAAACATAGAAAGTTTCATTTCTCTTTTCATAAACCTGATCATTTAATTTATATAGTCTAGAACAGTTCGTACCTTTGAAGACCGGTTTAGATTTGATCTTGTTCTAGGTTTTATCTAGGTTTTATCCCGCCGGAGTGAGGCTAGTGACTGTCGATGGAGTGTTTCGAGAAGAGAATAAGAAATTACTTATTTTATGCAGCAATAAATTTTCTGATATTTCTTCCTTATTTAGAGAAAAAAAAATGTTCAGATATTTCTTAACTGTTTGAACTGACTTTTCTGCAGAGCCATCACTTTGTGGGTGGTAAGGAGGGGTTGTGATACTATTGATGCCATCAGATGTAGGTAAATAGTTCTTTGCTCAAGTTGAAAGCCTTCTGACATTCTGTCGACCAGTTTGACTCAAAAATGACTCCTTCTTTACATAAATCATATAACGGCTCAACCGTAACATTTTCTATAGTAATTAAGTAGACCTGAATACGATTTTCAAAATATTGACATTAACTTCAGTGTCATTATTTTTCGAGTTTGAAAGCCGTGGATTTTTGGAATTTTTTCCTGACGTTTCGCTGGCGCGAGTGGCTAGCTTCTTCAGAGGTTTACCCATCATGGCTTGCTGTCCGATGACTGTCATCAAAGAGTAAACCATGATAGTTAAACCTCTGAAGAAGCTAGCCACTCGCGCCAGCGAAACGTCAGGAAGAAATTCTAAAAATCCACGGGTTTCAAGCTCAAAAATTCTGACACTGAAAACCTCAGCCGCGAAAGTCTAAACCATTTTGTACATTAATTTTTATTAACATTTACGTTATATTCTTGAATATGCTTGAAAACGTTTGAATTTTTGTAACAGTGTTCTTAACCTTCCAGTGGTAACGTACGGTTTCTCACACCGATGCGTCACATCCCCTTCCATTACTTTTGAGTGGGGGATAATATTTACAATTCCCTCCATGTATCTCTCAGTTACGTTCCGTTAGATACTAAGATGAAGTGGTGTGTTGTCAAAATAATTTATGAACAGGTTATGTCAAGTTTTGGTGTCGTAAACCGAAGTCACTGTTGCGGTTAGGGAATTGTTATTGAAGAAAAATATATTAATTCGCAAACTTCTGTAAGTATGATAGAAGATAATGAAAATTATAGTTCATAACTCAATATATTTTAATTATTTGAAGAAAATGGGTGATTATGAGCGTGAACAAGAACGGCTGATGGCCCTTATGGAATTAATTGTTGAGGATATTGTTGAAGAGCAGTACGATGACGAGGAAGAAGTTATGGAAGATCGTTTGGAAGAAGAGAAGAATAACAGCGACACAGAACAAGAGCTAGAGAGTGGAGAAGAGGAAGAAGAACAGCCTCCTCAAAAAAGGAAGATGGTCCAAGAACCAACGCTTACTAGTAAAGATAAAGTTACTAAATGGAACAAGCACATGCCGAACCAAAATGTGAAAACTCCCTCTAAGAATATAATAAGAATGAAACTCCCGTGTGTGAGGGGCCCTCTGAAACAAATAACAGATCAATTAGATATTTGGAGAAATGTTTTTGACAATGATATGATAAACGTTATAGTTACTGATACCAATTCTTATTTAGAGAGCGTATCACATAAATATAACCGAGCAACATATACAAGACCTACCACCAGATAAGAGATAGAGGCACTTTTAGAACTGCTCTTATTCAGTGGAGTGAAGAAGAATAATAATTTGAACACAGAAGACTTATTCAAAACTGATGGTACCTCTGTTGAAATATATCGATTGACTATGTCCAACGATTTCGTATTCTTTTGCGCTATATCAGATTTGATGATTTAGAAACAAGGGCAGAGAGACAAGCTCTTGACAAATTAGCCCCAATAAGGAGTTTCATCAACAAATTTATTGATAACTGTAAACGAAATTATAATCTGTCACAAGAAGTTACAATTGATGAAAAACTTGAGGCTTTTCGTGGACGCTGTTCTTTTCGGCAGTACATGCCAAATAAACCCAATAAATATGGGATTAAAATTTTTGCACTTTGCGATTCAAAAACATTTTATACCTCTAATTTAGAAGTATATGTTGGTACTCAACCAGATGGTCCATTTGCTCAAAATACATCGACACTTTCTTTAGTCGATAGGTTGTGTGAACCAATTCACGGGTCTGGTCGGAATATTACAACCGATAATTGGTTCACAAGTATTCCTCTAGCTGAAAAACTTATACAACGGAACCTAACAACAATTGGAACTATACGAAAAAACAAAAAGGAGATACCGCCTGAATTTGTTCAAGGAAAAAATCGTCCAATTGGTTCCAGTATGTTCGGTTTTAGAAAAGATTGTACTCTCGTTTCCTATGTACCAAAAAAGAAGAAAAATGTTCTTTTGATCTCCACTTGCCACAGTGACGATAAAATCGATGGGAATAGTTCAAAACCAGATATAATTATTGACTATAATCGTACTAAAGGGGGAGTTGACGTAGTGGACAAATTATGTGCATCTTATAACACTGCAAGAGCTACTCGAAGATGGCAAATGGTAATTTTTTACAGTTTGCTAAATTTATCTGGAATCAATTCGCAAGTTATCTTTTGTGCAAATAAACCCCAGAGCAGAGTAGTTAGACGCCAATTTCTCGAAAATCTTGCGTTGTGTCTGATTGAACCACATTTGAAAATCCGTGCAATGTCTCAAAATTTACCAAGACCTCTTAGAGTTCGAATATGTCACATTTGTAAATTGGAAGTAGCAGAGGCAAATCGCAACACGGAAAATATTTTCGGAAGATGTTTTAACTGTAGTTCAAAGAAGAACAGAAGGACCAAATACCGCTGTCAAGACTGCAATAAATTTCTATGTTTGGAACACGTGACTATCTTCTGTATGGAATGTTCCAGTCAAGAAGAAGCCAAAGACTGAGTTCAACCTTCGAATGGGGGCATCGCAATTATAATACGTAGGCTTTAGAATGTTCCTTTTTGTTATTTATAATTATTCACTCTTTCAGGTTTTTTTCATACTTACTTGAAGAAAAAGTCAATAAACGTTTAACTTCATTAAAATCCTATAGTTTATACAATTTATGACGTTATATAGACGATGAAACTCGATCGGTGTGGTAGACCGAAGTCACCACTCGTGGCCTACGGCAACTGTTGAACCACTGAAAGGTTAAGTTGCTCCAAGAACCAGGACATCATCAAGGTGAGCTTTAAGTTTGGTAATCCTGCCTAAATGGTATCCATGACATTCTGAAAAATTCCTGGTGCCGCACTAATACCATAGGTCAACCTGTTATAAGAATAGAGACCTACATGAGTATTTATAGTTAACAATTCTTTAGATTTTTCACTGACTTGGAGCTGTTCATAAGCTCCTTTGGGATTTATTACACAAAAGCATTTTTGCCCACTCAAACAAGCAAAAATGTCTTCAGGGAAGGGTGATGTGAATGATCTGATTCCAAAATGGTATTTAGTGTCTTTTTGAAGTCTACACAAATTTTTATATCTTCTAAATTCTTTTTAGGAACAGTGACTATTGGACTTGATCAGTTACTAAAAATTACTTTTGAAATCACACCTTGTTATTCCATTTTCAATAACTCAGCTTCCACTTTTGCACGTAACGCAAATGACATGTTATAGGCCCGATGAAAGATAGGTTGGATACTTTCCTTGACTTTTAGCTCGACTAAATACTTCAGTATATATGAATTAGGTTGCCCTTATAACACTTCTGAAGCATTTTTCACTCACTCGACTGGCGCTGACCTAAGTAATTTGTTTTTCAACTTTTATCAACTAATTTTTATTTTGGACTATTACTTCATCACTCTCCATTTTTATTTGATGTGTGACTGGTGGACAAAACCTTGACTTACAAATTTGGTCATCATGACTGACATGCCTTACATTCAACATATTTTCCCAATTAGAACTAATAATATCAAGCCAATTTCTACCTAATAATGGTGTGAACATTGTATCACCTTCTAATACTGAGAGGTAAGAAAACGTGTTGCTTGTTATATAAAACTTTGAAAACGAATTCACCTACAATATATACGTTTAGGCCAGTTACAACCTTTAGTTTACATTCAACAGGATATAATACATAAGAACTGAATAACTTTTTATATGTAGATACATGTATGACAGTTTCACACGCACCTAAGTCCACTTCAAAATGCAGGAGCTTGCCTTCGACATCAACGATTACCTTCAAACTGTTTACTGCGTCTTTCTCAAAATCCCAGTCTTGAGGAATTTTCTTCGTTTTGAGACTCCTCTCCTCCTCCTCCTCAGGACCTTTGCTTTGTAGCTCTCTGTAACTCATTTTATTGATGTGTACTGTTACAGCTGGCTCCATAGCTACTACTGTTTTAGAAGCATTTGCCCAGGTTAATATATCTTCTGACAATAATTTAGGATTTGTAGCCTCTGAACGCAAACAACATACAAATTTATCTCTCAATGCCTTATTCGAAAAAGTCACAATATTGTGATAAGTCTTTAAATTTTGTGGCATTAGACTTGATATCCTCTTCTTGCTCCTGCTAGGCACTATAAAATTTATAACTTTCTGCAATGACTAACCTTCTTGGTTTGAAATGGCTAAGTAATGTTTTCAATTCATCGAACGATTAAGAGCTGGGTAAATCTGGGGCAATAGATATTTTTAAGCACCATATGCTTCCGCACCAATTACGGTTAGGAACATTGCTCTTTTCTTTTCATCAGTAACACTGTTACATACAAAAACATACTTTATCCTTTTCATATACGACGAAATATCTGACTCGCTAGGCTCAATACTTCCAATAAAAGACATCTTCAAGTAGACTTTGACTTAGCTACTCCTCGAGGTTATTGATCCCGAGTCATGACTATGAGGACTGCACTTACTGTTACTGACGCGAAACTTGCTACTAGTGGATTCAACTTCCCTCGTCGCCAATAATGCTGTGTATTTTCATTTATTTGACAATAATACACGCATTCTTCACGACATACTTTCATTAAAAAATCTTGACTTCCATAAGTCAGTTCTAAAACATCCCAGCCATAGAACACACACTCTCTCGAAAACCCTTAAGGTAGGTTCACAACAGTCATTAATGCACTTAAATTAGCTCCAAGAGAAAAGCCAGTCCTTGACTCCGCCACTAAATTTTATTAGTTAAATTTTTGGCAGTTTATTTTCACTATTTTCCACTATCAACTCAAGGGTATTATACTTGCAAAGAACTCATTAGCTCCAGCTACTACTTCGTTTACATCCATGTCAGTGAAATCAGCATCCAGGATAAGTTCCACCATATGTTTATTCAAGTCATTCCGTATCTCAACTTTCTGATCTAAAAGGTATAGATTATCTTGTACATGTCAGCTTGTAGTCAGCATATCAGGTTCTGTTCTCTTCAATTTTGTCTCAATGAGATCAAAACTCCGTCGTGAAGAAGTTCTGAGGAACGACCATCACGGTCGCCAAATGTAACATAGAGACACAACTAACCGTTGTATACGTACTACCCTCAAACAGTTGTAGGACTGCAGTAGGGATGAACTACGATTTCATACAGGTCACTGTCATTTGAATGCAGAGACTTGGACTGTCGGAAGACAGTGTGTGTCGCCTCTGTCTGGAAAATGATGAAACAGCAGAGCATATACTTTGAGCCTGCCCCGCTGGGGACCGAATCAGGTTCTTTGAGGTCGGCAGATCCGTACTCTCACCATCTGACCTGAAAGATCACTCACCATACAAACTAATCGCCTTCGTTAAGAAGCTGGGTTTATTTGGCCAAGTGTGAATAGGTGTGAGCTACAATAAACTCTTGTGGGTTGCGGTGAAGGGTTGAATAGTCCCACTCACTTCAGACACCTACCTACTACACTCAAAGGACAGGAGAATAAATATATTCTTTCTAATTCAAATTGAGAATATTGAAAAAATATTATTTTTGAAAAAAAGGCGTTTATAATTACAATAAATCAAAATCTGACCGTTTAATTCTAATTTCAAATAAATATAAAAAATCGATATACAGACTTAGACCAATTTCTGACAGCGATTTCTTTTTGGGTTTTCTCAATTTATTTTCATTCACACATCCACAAGTGGCTGGCGTCTTCAGAGGTTTATTCATCTTGATGATTCACCGATGACATCGGTCGTTAGGATGCAGTTCCGAATTACGACGGCATTCAAACCCAAATGGAGATAGTAACACTGAACATTGTTTATTCTGTCCATGAATTTTCCCTAACTGAGATAATTTTTATTACTGACTGAGTATATTGGTCGACAAAGCAGATGTATCAAATTTTGTTCTTTGTAACGTGATGGATAGTTTATCTCAACTTTCTGATCTAAAAGGTATAGATTATCTTGTACATGTCAGCTTGTAGTCAGCATATCAGGTTCTGTTCTCTTCAATTTTGTCTCAATGAGATCAAAACTCCGTCGTGAAGAAGTTCTGAGGAACGACCATCACGGTCGCCAAATGTAACATAGAGACACAACTAACCGTTGTATACGTACTACCCTCAAACAGTTGTAGGACTGCAGTAGGGATGAACTACGATTTCATACAGGTCACTGTCATTTGAATGCAGAGACTTGGACTGTCGGAAGACAGTGTGTGTCGCCTCTGTCTGGAAAATGATGAAACAGCAGAGCATATACTTTGAGCCTGCCCCGCTGGGGACCGAATCAGGTTCTTTGAGGTCGGCAGATCCGTACTCTCACCATCTGACCTGAAAGATCACTCACCATACAAACTAATCGCCTTCGTTAAGAAGCTGGGTTTATTTGGCCAAGTGTGAATAGGTGTGAGCTACAATAAACTCTTGTGGGTTGCGGTGAAGGGTTGAATAGTCCCACTCACTTCAGACACCTACCTACTACACTCAAAGGACAGGAGAATAAATATATTCTTTCTAATTCAAATTGAGAATATTGAAAAAATATTATTTTTGAAAAAAAGGCGTTTATAATTACAATAAATCAAAATCTGACCGTTTAATTCTAATTTCAAATAAATATAAAAAATCGATATACAGACTTAGACCAATTTCTGACAGCGATTTCTTTTTGGGTTTTCTCAATTTATTTTCATTCACACATCCACAAGTGGCTGGCGTCTTCAGAGGTTTATTCATCTTGATGATTCACCGATGACATCGGTCGTTAGGATGCAGTTCCGAATTACGACGGCATTCAAACCCAAATGGAGATAGTAACACTGAACATTGTTTATTCTGTCCATGAACTTTCCCTAACTGAGATAATTTTTATTACTGACTGAGTATATTGGTCGACAAAGCAGATGTATCAAATTTTGTTCTTTGTAACGTGATGGATAGTTTGTTGATAGTCTAGGCTATCTGAATAGCTTTCATTAGGATTTTAAAAATCCGGTAGCTAAATCTTGCATAAACTTTGGTTAATTTCTGTTCTGACTTCAAATAAATCGTTGCTACACCTTCGATTTCAAGTTTACTGAATCCCATTTTCTGTACTTTTTGTGGAACTGTACACGATACTATCATTTCAGAAATAATAAGTGTTTTTCATTTGTTAGAATGATTCAGATGATAGTGATTTTTTAATAACATTCCAATAACACATAATCCACTTCAAAATCTGATTAAGATTCGTATCTAAGCGTTTAACAGCTATATAAACGAAGTTCATTTCAAATTTTTTCAGTGTTCTCTTCAAGAAGAAATTACTACAAGAAGAAAATGGTAGCATTCAAACTTCTCACTTTTGTTGCGCTGGTATATACCGCAAATGGTAAGGCTAACTTTCCAATTGAGTATTTGTAAATATCAATTCGTAATTAATGAAGTCACCAATATCATTTTTCATACATACTCTTCAAATGCGGCCTAGCTTACAAGTTTGTACTGCACTGAAAAATTAATTGTTATGAATTGTTATGACATTTCAATTCTAAAAAAATATAATTGATACCGTACTTTACATAATTTAAAAAAATGCTCCCTTCTGGTTGTCAGTTAAACATAAAGTTTTTTATAATTGTTAATCAACGACGATTATAATTTGAGTTTTTTTAATATGGCTCGAGTGGCATAGCTACATTTTGTACAAATGAAAGCAATATGTACATGTTGCTTTCGTATCGAGAGGGATTTCGAAGTTATCAAAGTTATCAAAAAAATATTCGCAGATAGAAAATATTTTGTGGAGCTTGCAGTAGCTTTACAACTACCGTAAATAAAAATTTTAACTACTTTTTTGAGTAGAGCCATGAAGATAATTAGTCTAATTAAAAAGTACAAAAACATGAAAAATAGAGATGAAGGTCCTAAAAATATAAGCGATAGCTCATTCGATTCGGAGTCACCCCAAAAAAAATGTTTTTGAAGGATTTTGTA